ACCGAGGAGAAAACATTAGTTGCTCAGGGTCCTGAGCAATAAAGAATAAGATTATTACTCATAGAAATTGGTGTGCACACTACCCACTCCCAATGATTACCTACTAGCTACGCTGTCAGCAATGATGAGTTTTTAAGGTATAAATAGTCCTCACAAACACAGAAAAGGGGTACGCAATAAAGCCTCTCTCAACTATCATATAGTGTTTTTTTTTTACCCTCTCTCAAAGAACTGACTTGATCGTCGGAGGGGATACGCCGAAAAATACTCCGGTGTTCTTCTAACTTGTTTTTCTTTGTTCCAGAATCCTCCTTTAGCCTTTCAGGATCACTCAGGCGACTCATACAAACGATTGATTATCTACCTTCGACCCTCACAACCTGTTCAAGTAGCAAGATCGACCACCCAATTGACGGACACGTGTTCATCACGGAAGAGATCTATTCTAGTATTTATATCGTGCAGAATCTTGCACGCACACTTCTACTTAGAGAAAAATTTGTGGATGATTGGTGATCACGATGGCTAAGTTTACTTGTGGTGGGGAAGTTGGTGGGGTTCTAGATATTACCTTGATTCATTTTAATTTTAATGGAGCAAACGGGACTGGAATATATCAGATGATATATTTTGATGGTTTTCATTAGTTTATGATGATGGTAGAGTAAGTCTGGATGCTCAAACGTCATTTGGGTCTTTTCCTTAGGAAGACAATGCTTGAATAAAAGAACTGTAGCCCTGTGATTTCCAATATTCTTTTTCTAGAGACTAGAGGGGACATTGGGTTAGCTCTTTCTATTCTTGAGTTGTGCTAAAAAGAAACTACTTCAATTTTATATTATCCAATATGGATAGGGAGTATCTAAAGAGTTGCTTTACCAAATGTGATCACACACTGACCAGGGCAATTGCTGGCTACAACGTAATACTACAATTGATGGAATTTGGATTGATTCTATTCGGGCGGGCGGCAGAGAAGAAGCACTGACATGAAAGAGATTACTGATAAACTCATCCAACTGCACAAAAAAAGTGATAAACAAAATAAAACTGTCTTCCGAATAATTCCAAATCCAATATCACCCTTTTTAGTAGACTATTTGCCTCATCATGGATTTAAGTCTCTTTCATTGAATATATGGGTAAACCACTTATCTGACTAATCAAGGTTCCGTAAGCCCTTTCCCATGGAGAACCCGGCTTTATTGAAGAGCCTTGTTTAATCAAACCAAGTACTCAAATTCAATCAGGATACTATATTTGTTTACGTGGGCTTGCCTTGGGTAAATGTTCCACATGCCAAAGAACAAGTAATGTACACTTGAAGGGATTTGTTTCCATTTTGAACAAGTTTGGAAAATTGACACTTCTTGGACACTTATGGCCATTCAACACATGTTGGTTGATCTGTGTTTTACTCATTGTTTAGTATATTATTATTAATACTTGGTTAATACTTCTTTACCTATTACTGATTGAACATTTGAGGTGATATTATGAGTATCTTTATTCCATCCTATCTCTTTATTACCTCTACATAATTAGAAAACGGAAAACTACCTTGACAGTCCTTGCAAGGAGACCAACGTCATTTGACTAATGACGCATACATTGATGTAACCTAACTCTTGACAACTTGATTGACCTCATGGTATCATGGTTTTGAAAAGTGGTTGTTACGGCACGTAACGGTAATGGAGGTCGGCGATACCGATACACCCCGTTATAGTGGTGAGAAGAAAATTCACGTCTGTAACAACAGTTATGGCACCGCAACGGCTTGTAACGGATCTATAACGGTAGTAATAGTCCGATTTGGATTGTAACGGCCGATACATATTATTTTCAACCCGAAAAACAAATACCTGGAAGAGCTTTTTTTTTCNTATCATGGTTTTGAAAAGCGGTTGTTACGGCACGTAACGGTAATGGAGGTCGGCGATACCGATACACCCCGTTATAGTGGTGAGAAGAAAATTCACGTCTGTAACAACAGTTATGGCACCGCAACGGCTTGTAACGGATCTATAACGGTAGTAATAGTCCGATTTGGATTGTAACGGCCGATACATATTATTTTCAACCCGAAAAACAAATACCTGGAAGAGCTTTTTTTTTCTTCAATATTCTGTAAAAATGTACAACAAAATCTTGAAATAAAATCCAAAGTACCCATATAGAAGCAGATTTTGAGACATAGAAGAGAGAATCTACTTGTAGAGTGAGAGATCTGAAACATGACCGCCACACCCATTTCCGGTAGAGATTCACCTGCATAAAAATCATCTAATGAAAAAAAAAATTGTTTGAAGGAGGATTTGACAAAACCATCCAAGAATTAGAGACCCAATAGAAAGACACAAAAACTTCAGAGAGAAGAGACGAATTCGCCAGAGAAGAGACCCATTAGAAAACGAAAAATTGGAAGAGAGAGAAAANCGCATAAAAATCATCTAATGAAAAAAAAAATTGTTTGAAGGAGGATTTGACAAAACCATCCAAGAATCAGAGACCCAATAGAAAGACACAAAAACTTCAGAGAGAAGAGACGAATTCGCCAGAGAAGAGACCCATTAGAAAACGAAAAATTGGAAGAGAGAGAAAAATATGTCCTTTTGTAGTGGGTAGGACAATCTGTCATGTTAAGAGGAGAGGAGAGGATAGGTGTTGTCCTCTAAAAGTTGTTTCTTTATTTTGTCATTTTACAATAAAAGCATTATCCACAAATTAATTTTTATTTAATTTTCTACTGGAACTTAATTGTATTTATTTCTTGCCTTAAGTTAACGTCTTATTCTCGTGGAATTGAGTTAAATATGATGTTTACAATACAATAACATAGCATCATGGCCCACTAAAAATATTTATTGGTCTGTTGTGAAAGTTAAAATGTGTATACATTCAATTTTGAAGGAGGTGTGATCAGGGAAAAAAAATTCACGTCTCCGGTTTCCATTTCTGTTACGTAACGTTCGTTACACTGTTACCATTATCGTTACGATAGTCGTTATCGTTATTCATAACCATGCATGGTATGCAAATAAAAGGGTGATATCCATTATTGAACAAACATTTCTATCGCGGATTCATTTACTATTGATAAATTTTCATTAAACAACTGCTGCTGGACAGCTTTGCTTCAGTCGATTTCTGCTGTCTTGGGACTTCCATTAAACACTTGGGAAAGAAATTTAGGGGTTGCTGCTTTCTTTTCTGTTTCATAGAGTAAGGAAGGAAAAGGTGACAAAAAGGAGAATAGGAAGGTGAGAGGTAGATGCTGGAACTCTTGAAAGAAAGAAGAAATGGGAGAAAACTCTAGAATCCAAGAGGGTGAATAGGAAGGAACAAGTGGAAAAATAGACTAAAGAGAGATGCAACAATGCATAATAGACAAAGTAGAGAACGTAGAATAAGAGCTGCAAAGAATTAGAGCGATATGACAACAAATGAAAGATGATAGGAAGAAAGGTAGAAAAATATGGGAGAAGAAGATTGAAAGTCAACGCCAGGCTTTGTAGAAAATCCAGAAAAATCAGATCTTATCTTCGCTAAAACTCTAGTGACCAACATATGGTGCTATTTTTATTTACATTTGTGGATGCACATCAATCATAAACATCCTGTCAACATTTTTAGCTAATGTCATGTATGAAATGAACATTACAGTGAAAAAAAGGATCAATCAAAAAATAAAAGACCAACACAAATGGGGGTAAATTTGGAATTTTGATTAGATATTGATGATAATTTCAAAATAGCTGTTAGGCTTATATATCAATGATGTTTTCAACGGTTCTACTAGAGACAAAGTTATTTCTATTACAACACATAAAACTCAGGAAGTTCCTATGTCATTTTTCCAATGTCAAGGAGCCTCCATATTGTGTTGTCAAAACCCAAGATGTCGGTGTAATTCATCTAGAAATTGTCATGACGTCTTTTTGAATAAAATAAATGATTAATTACTATAGAATTTGACCATATTTTTGCTAAACAAAAGACAAATGATTGTATATCTTAAGAATTAGCATGGGAGGAGGGGAGTCCTCATAATTTTGCNGTCATGACGTCTTTTTGAATAAAATAAATGATTAATTACTATAGAATTTGACCATATTTTTGCTAAACAAAAGATAAATGATTGTATATCTTAAGAATTAGCATGGGAGGAGGGGAGTCCTCATAATTTTGCCTGTTTATGTATGTCATGAATCTTTAGTTGTGTACATGCATGGATAGACTCTGTTGTGCCTTTGTTGATTGTAATGATTCAGGAGTGAGTAATTTCATATCGTATTCAATGTGTGGGTTGTTTTGTATACCCAACATGCTATCTTTGTGTCCTATCTGGTGTTTGTGCCACATTTTGTTTGTGCTTTGCGTTTGTTTCCATGCTTCATAGTTGATATCTCATTGTTAATACACATCCCAAATTATGGAATAATCATCTAGCTTTCTATATGCTAGTAATGTGGGAGTTTTTTTGTCTATATTCATTATGTGATTGTTTCAAAGGGAATTTGGATACTACAGTGAAAAGACTGATTGGGATCAAGGACATTTTGGAACATGATGTATTGGTTGTGTGGCCAGTGTTAAAATTTCCTGTGCAATTTAAATTTATCAGATGCATNACAGTGAAAAGACTGATTGGGATCAAGGACATTTTGGAACATGATGCATTGGTTGTGTGGCCAGTGTTAAAATTTCCTGTGCAATTTAAATTTATCAGATGCATGAATTTTCTTGTTTTGTGAATTGAACAAGTACTTTTTGGCTATGAACTTTTATAGTTGGGATTTAATATATGATCGATTTATTTCTTTCTAGTCGGGATAGGCTTCTAATGGTGATGAGATGGATGATAATAATGAGGATGAAAATTTTCTTAACTTCTTATGTGCACGTTGATTTTACAGGCTCAAAATTTGCATTTTGGAAACCAGTAGCATCTTGACATAAGCTGCTTCGGTTGAACTATACTACACTCTGGCATATCTATTGAGGAATGGCAGATGGAATATCTAATTTCTGGGGCCCTGCCACGTCCACCACTGAGTGGTGTGAGCAGAACTACGTGTACTCTCCCTATGTTGCGGAGTTTTACAACACCATGTCAAATATCCCATGCATTCTTTTGGCACTCATTGGTCTTATAAATGCCTTGAGACAACGATTTGAGAAAAGATTTAGTGTCCTTCACTTATCAAATATGATACTCGCCATTGGGAGCATGCTATATCATGCCACTTTGCAGTGGGTGTAAGTCTTCTTCCCCAAAACCCTGTGTCTTCTCTTCTTATCTAGTTGCTTTCAACCACATAGAATGGACACTTAATATATTCATTTTTCCACTCAAAATAATGAATCTCAGTAAAAAGTTCCCATGGAAGGTGATTCCAACTGCATAGTATGTAAGGGTAAGGGTGCACATTAGATCAGCACAAAAAAATCCCAAAAGACGAAAGTGTTGCAGAATAGAGCTGGCTGTTTTGCATCTGGTTTGATGGGATAGGATTTTGTATCTAGGAGTTTTTTGTTAAGAATGTAAGGCTTGGGTTTAAGAAATGATTTGTGTATCAAAGTTCAGGGTTTAGGACTAAGAATGTCCTGATTAAATGGCTGACGAGGGTTCTTGTTTGTTCACAGCAGTGCTACTTAAAATTGAACAGAATACAAGTAGACGAAAACGAAGAAAGAGATGGAACCTTATGTATCACTAAGGCCTTCAAGGAGTCTCACCGATAAAATTTTTTAATGAAGTCTCACTAATAGAGGGCAAAGTCTGCAGAGAATTTTTTTCATCAACTAGTGTAGATGTTTTAAAAAAACTGACTTATGGAGGGACAAACCCAAGCGAAGTAGGAATTTTCCAAATTGGAAATTCTCACAGCCAAAGGATTTCCTAAATCTACAAGAATTAATAATCAAGACATCAGAAGGACTACACAAATGCCGCAACAAAAAGTAATAAATCTGGAAACCAATAAATATTATGTAAGATTTTGCTCCTTTTCTCTTTCTAACACATACTTTTAGAGGCTGATTGCTATAGGAAAGAGACTCGAAAATAAAACTACCCCAAGTTCCTAAATGAAATTCATCTTTTTAAAGCTGAGTCTTAATTTTTCTGGAGACTACATTCACTTGTGATGCTCTTTTCAAAAAAATTGTGAAGTATTCTTGGACATCCTTGAANCGAAAATAAAACTACCCCAAGTTCCTAAATGAAATTCATCTTTATAAAGCTGAGTCTTAATTTTTCTGGAGACTAAATTCACTTGTGATGCTCTTTTCAAAAAAATTGTGAAGTATTCTTGGACATCCTTGAATATCTACACAGAGCATCTTATTAAATGTATATATTTAGATTGAGAAATAAAGGAAACTTGGGGTGCGAGGCTGTATCACGATGGACACTAGTGTTGCTTACAAGAGGCATCATTTTTTGGTTGGTTAGTTTAAAGTGTGCCTCCATCTACATTGCATAATTTTTGTGTCACGATATGCTGCCACCCAACTGATGCTAATGATGCTGTCCATCAACATTTTGTCTATAAGCCTTGTGGCATGTTTAATTTGGTTGACTTAATGCTGTGTGCGAAATATGAGGCATACACATGCTTATGCATTTTCTATGTGCTACAGCTAATGCAAACCTCAAAAGATAGTCTATATTCTGGTTGTAAAGTCGGTTTAACAATGGTTTAAAACTCGTTGACTTACACTTACTTTCCAATCAAGTGATGTTTTATTGTGATTTATCACCGACACTGATTTCAAAAAATATTTTAGGCAACAGCAATGTGATGAAACACCAATGGTGTGGGAAATGCTCCTATATCTCTACATCCTCTATTCACCAGACTGGCATTATCGGAGTACTATGCCCACATTTTTGTTCCTATACGGTGCAGTTTTTGCCATTTTACATTCACAGGTCCGTTTTGATATTGGATTTAAGCTGCATTATATGTTACTCTGCCTTCTTTGCATCCCTAGGATGTACAAATATTACATTTACACAGAAGATAGATCTGCAAAATGGCTCGCAAAGTTATATTTGATCGCCTTATTGCTTGGGAGTCTTTGTTGGCTTTGTGATCGTCTGTTCTGCAAGAATATTTCTTGCTGGTACTTCAATCCCCAAGGTCATGCTTTGTGGCATGTCTTCATGGGTTTTAACTCATATTTTGCAAACACATTCCTGATGTTCTGCCGTGCTCAGCAACGAGGATGGGACCCAAAAGTTAAGTACCTCATGGGCTTTTTCCCCTATGTGAAGATTAAAAAACCGAAGATCCAGTGAAAGAAATTTCTGCTTGGAAAAGCCAAACCTCTCACACTTTGGAGGTAGGGGCGTGATTTTGGACATGTAAGCTAAGGCAAGTAGTCAATTATTTTTGGTTTCCTCTTTTCTCCCCCATTTTGAACAACGAAATGTAAATGATGACTTTTTTGGTTGGTTGGAAGTGCTTAAATTTATTCTATAACTAGTTTGGTTTCAAATGTACTATATTTATGTACTTCCACAGAACGATTTAATCAGGCAGTGTTGTCAGTTGATTCCCCTCCTCCTCCTCCTCCTCTCTCTTCCCTTTCTGTTCAAAAATTTGTTGGGAAATTGATTCATTTTTCCCTTTTTAGAGAATGCTGAGAAAGGTGGTTTGGTTTGATGTAGAAACACAGAATCTGACATTTATTGGCATTGATCTTGTTTTGGTTATGATTAATTTGCTGGCCTGTTTATGTGGGTTTTCCCCTTGGATGAAATCATTAGAATCTGGTAGTGTATAATTTGTGATTCATGCAAGTTCTTGCTTGGGAATAAGGTTTTATTAAGCCCTCCAGCCAAGCTTTATCAGCAGGGTTTCATGGAATTGAAAGGACTTTAATTGTGTGCCTTGCAACATCATTTCCTATTTTTGTCCAAGAAATATGAGATGTCTACTTTACTGTCCTATGGTTATTCCATTCCCAAGCTAGCAACATTGTTTTTACTTTGGGGAGCCAAAGAAGGGTGTCCTAAAGTTCCTCCACCGACNTTGGGAGTCTTTGTTGGCTTTGTGATCGTCTGTTCTGCAAGAATATTTCTTGCTGGTACTTCAATCCCCAAGGTCATGCTTTGTGGCATGTCTTCATGGGTTTTAACTCATATTTTGCAAACACATTCCTGATGTTCTGCCGTGCTCAGCAACGAGGATGGGACCCAAAAGTTAAGTACCTCATGGGCTTTTTCCCCTATGTGAAGATTAAAAAACCGAAGATCCAGTGAAAGAAATTTCTGCTTGGAAAAGCCAAACCTCTCACACTTTGGAGGTAGGGGCGTGATTTTGGACATGTAAGCTAAGGCAAGTAGTCAATTATTTTTGGTTTCCTCTTTTCTCCCCCATTTTGAACAACGAAATGTAAATGATGACTTTTTTGGTTGGTTGGAAGTGCTTAAATTTATTCTATAACTAGTTTGGTTTCAAATGTACTATATTTATGTACTTCCACAGAACGATTTAATCAGGCAGTGTTGTCAGTTGATTCCCCTCCTCCTCCTCCTCCTCCTCCTCTCTCTTCCCTTTCTGTTCAAAAATTTGTTGGGAAATTGATTCATTTTTCCCTTTTTAGAGAATGCTGAGAAAGGTGGTTTGGTTTGATGTAGAAACACAGAATCTGACATTTATTGGCATTGATCTTGTTTTGGTTATGATTAATTTGCTGGCCTGTTTATGTGGGTTTTCCCCTTGGATGACATCATTAGAATCTGGTAGTGTATAATTTGTGATTCATGCAAGTTCTTGCTTGGGAATAAGGTTTTATTAAGCCCTCCAGCCAAGCTTTATCAGCAGGGTTTCATGGAATTGAAAGGACTTTAATTGTGTGCCTTGCAACATCATTTCCTATTTTTGTCCAAGAAATATGAGATGTCTACTTTACTGTCCTATGGTTATTCCATTCCCAAGCTAGCAACATTGTTTTTACTTTGGGGAGCCAAAGAAGGGTGTCCTAAAGTTCCTCCACCGACTGTAGTACAGAATCATCCCCAAAAATCTTGGTTAGAGCCTCAGCCTCAATCTTTGGTATGGTACCAAAAATAGCATTATAGTCAACATATAAGAATATTAGTTCTCATTGTTCTATATACTATGATATGAATATGAATACGAATTTAGCACAGATCTCGGTCAAAGCCTCAACCTCAATCTTTATTATGGTACAAAAAATAACAATTTAGTCTCCATAAAAAATGTTAGCTCTTACCCTTCTATATACTATGATATGAATATGAATATACCACACCAATGTGTTATGTGTACGAATAATGGGATTCTATTGATACAAAGTCAATTCTAATAGACTTAATGAAGGGTATTATTAACAGGATAGATAATTGAATCAGGCTCGTTCTGGGTTTGGTTCAATCCGTTTTGGGTTTAGTTTGGGTCGGATCATTATCTAAATGAGTCGAACTTAAATAATATTTTAAATTCGTTATTAAAAAACTCGTAAAACTTAATTTATTTATATATAAGAGAAATTGAATTTAAGAAGTTTCGGTCAAAAAGTCATGTACTCAAAAAATTTTAGACAAAAGTACATTGTGACAAGAAAAAGACAAAAAAACCATTTAAGTATTTAAAAATGGAAATTGAAAACTAAAGCATTAAGCCGGTTTTTAAGAAACCCATTAATGGAATCCCTTATTTTGTGCAAAATCCCTTCACATTCTAACCCTCATCTTCCATTTTTTTTTTGGTTTACTCGTTACACCTTCACACTTTCAACGGAAAGTTTTGAACATTCCAAACCAAAAATGCATTGCCTTTGTTTGAATAAGATTCTTGTATAGATGGAGGCTGTTGGGATATTACTTGAACGGACTCCGTTGAAGTTGTCATTGNGTATAGATGGAGGCTGTTGGGATATTACTTGAACGGACTCCGTTGAAGTTGTCATTGTTCTTCCGGCGTCGTTGAGGGGTTCCGGCATCATCATAAGGAGTTTCGGCATTCTCACAAACCAGTTAATAGTAAGTTTCTTGATTTTTTCCTTTTTTTTATATTTTATGAAATAAACACAAAAACCCCAAATCAGAAGTATTAATTTNATTGAATATGGAACAAGAAAAAGAACTCTTAGATGTATTGAGAAAGCATAAAGGAACAATTGGCTGGACCATTACAGATATCAAGGGGATAAGCCCTCTTATTTGCACCCACTGCATATATCTTGAGGAGGATTCCAAACCCTCTTGACAACCACAAAGAAGGCTAAATCCCATCACGAAGGAGGTGGTGAGGGATGAGGTTCTGAAACTACTTTATATGAGGATCATTTTTCCAATCGCCGATAGTAAGTGGGTTAGCCCCACACAAGTAGTACCTAAGAAATCTGGAGTTACGGTGGTTGAGAATGACGAGAATCAGCTTATACCTACAAGATTGATCACCAGATGGAGGGTGTGCATTGATTACCGAAAGTTGAACGCTTGCACAAGAAAAGACCACTTCCCATTGCCATTCCTCGATCAAGTTCTAGAACGAGTAGCGGGGCATCTATTCTACTGCTTTTTAAATGGATACTCCAGCTATAATCAGATTGAGATTGCTTTGGAGGATCAAGAGAAGACCACCTTCACATGGCCCTATGGTACCTTTGCCTACTGCCACATGCCATTTGGACTATGCAATGCTCCGGGGACGTTTCAACGTTGTATGATGGGGATTTTCAGTGACATGGTGGAAAATATAGTGGAGGTCTTTATGGACGACTTTTTGGTGTTTGGGGATTCATTTGATGGATGTTTGGCAAACTTGGAGAGAGTTCTAACATGATGTGAGGAGAAGAATCTAGTCTTGAATTGAGAAAAGTGTCACTCTATGGTGACGGAAGGAATTATGCTTGGCCATATAGTTTCGGCAAGGGGTATTGAAGTCGATAAATCCAAGGGCATTTGGTCGTTTTTGGGCCATCTCCAACCTCAATACGCCAGGAGCCATCAAGGGCATCCAATCGTTTTTGGGCCATGTAGGTTTTTATCATCAATTCATAAAGAACTTTAGTGCATTGGCCCGACCCTTGACCAACCTGCTGTCTAAAGAGGTCCCATTTGAGTGGTCAGATGATTATGAGGCATCCTTTAAAAAACTTAAAAGCATGCTAGTCACACCTCCAATCATGCGACCACCCAATTGGGATCTACCTTTTGAGCTCATGTGTGACGCGAGTGATTACGCAGTCGACGCAGTGTTCGGTCAGAGGGAGGAAAATAGACCATATGCGATACACTATGCTAGAAAAACACTTAGTGAGGCTCAGATGCCTTAGATAAATTCCGTTCTTACATCATTGGTTCGCCTATTGTTGTCTTTACTGATCACTCTACTTTGAAATATTTGTTGTTTAAGCAGGATGCAAAACCAAGACTCATTAGGTGGATCCTCCTCCTACAAGAATTCGACTTGATGATCAAGGATAACAAAGGAGTTTAGAACGTGATGGCAGATCATTTATCCCGGCTTGTGGTGCAAGAGGCCAATGAGCACATTCCTATCCCTGACTTTTTTCTTGACGAGCATTTGTTTTCAATTTATTCTGTATGTCCTTGGTATGCTGATATATGTAAATATCTTGCAACAGGATAGATTCCACCGCAATGGAGCCCAGAAGATTGAAGACGATTTATGGCAGATGTGAAGTACTTCTACTTTGACAACCTGTATTTGTTCAAGAACTGTCCTGATCAAATCATGAGGAGATGCGTACCTGAAAATAAACAACGGGACGTCCTTGCATTTTGCCATTCACAAGCTTGTAGCAGATATTTCTTGGCGAAAAAGACTTCGGCCAAAATTCTTCAATCAGGTTTTTACTGGACCTTTCTTATCAAAGATTGTGTTTCATTTTGTAAGGGATGCGATAGATGCCAACGGTTGGNAATGTTACATAAAACAAGTAAAGGACATTTAGGTACTACAAAAATATTAAAATTGCAAAAATGGACTTAATCACAAAATATTTTGCAGACAGTATACTTACTCACTTAAAAGTTTGGACTATGGACTTTTCGAGGAATATTTTTATAAATATGTACCCACCCACAAATTTCCCTATATATAAAACAGTCGAATTATTTGGGTTCAGTTCAGGTTCGAATTTTTTTGGGCTTGATTCACTTTCCAAACAAGCTTGGTTCAATTATCAACCCTATCCATTAGAANACATCCTCATAGCAGTGGACTATGTATCCAAATGGGTGGAGGCTATCCCGACCAAGACTAATGACCACCGGGTCGTAGTCAAGTTTCTCAAGGAGAACATCTTTTTGAGGTTTGAGATGCCTCGTTCAATAATAAGTGATGGTGGATCACATTTCTGTAATAGGCCATTTGTATCTCTAATGTTCAAATATGGTGTCACTCACAAAGTATCCACTGCCTATCACCCACAAACAAATGGCTAAGCCGAGCTAGCCAATAGGGAGATCAAGAACATTCTAGAAAAAACGGTTAACCCAAACAGGAAGGATTGGTCTGATAGATTGACTGATGCCCTCTGGGCATACTGCACTGCCTTTAAAACTATTTTGGGCATGTCTCCCTACCGGCTTGTCTATGGAAAGGCTTGCCACCTGCCAGTCGAAATGGAACACAAGGCCTATTGGGCCATTAAGACTTTAAATTTTAATTTGAGAATGGCTGGTGATCGTAGGAAGTTAGAGCTGAATGAGTTGGAAGAGATTCGACGAGATGCATATGAGAGCTCCAAAATCTCAAAAGAAAGGGCCAAAATCTTTCATGATAACTCCATCGTGAGGAAATCATTTGAGCCCGGGCAAAAAGTACCCTTGTATAATTCTCGTGTCTCCATTTTCCAAGGCAAACTCCGATCCCGTTGGGATGACCCCTATTTTGTCAAGGTGGCCTACCCCAATGGAGCTGTCGATGTCCAAAATCTCGAAAATGTCCAGACATTCAAGATCAATGGCCAAAGACTTAAGCCATTTTTTGGGGGCTTTGAAGAACAAGTGGTGGAGGAGAATTGATGGATCCGGTATACTCGAATGTTGTGGAGGAATAATTAGTTTTTTTTTTTTCTGCTTTTCAATGTACAAGCTTTTATTTACTTATTTTATTTTTATTCGATGTTAATTATGTTCTTTTGTCGTATAGTTTTGTTCTTCTTAGTTGCAGATATTGGTGTTTTTGTCAAAGCTCAAGTGTGAGGTGTTCTCTAACCCTACTAATCTTTTTATTGTCCGTCATTGAATATCATACTTTTTTAGTTTCATTGAGAACAATGCATGAATCAAGTTTGGGGGTGAGGTTGCACTATTTGCATCTTACACCAATGTTTGTGGGAATATTCTGCGCGGATATTCGCGTCTGCCGACACTAAAAAAAATAAATAAAAAAATAAAAAATAGAAAAAAAAAATGGGATGCCTTTATAAGGTTTTCAAAATTTTTTTTCTCCCATCCATCGGTGATTGGTCTCCCCTTCTTCTTCCCTTCTTTTTTCTTCTTTCTTCCTCTTTTCTTCTTCTTCTTCTTCTTCTTCGTCATCGTTCTCTTTGTTCTCTATAAAAACAAACCACCCCTGCAAATCCATGACCATATATACCGACGACCCAGTCCTTTGTTTAATAATTTGCTTTATATGTTTGTATTTGTTCATGGGTGCTCTTTTTCTACTCAAACTTAGGGTGAGGGGTTTTCAGCCTAACCCAAATCTCCTTTGAGTTGGTTAATTATTGTGTTTTGTTTGTTGGTTTTGGCAGCTAAACAGATCTTTACACTCACCGCTTTTCCCTCTTTCTTCTTCTTCTTCTTCTTCCCTAACATTAACCTTAACTGAGATGATGTTATATGTGTGTATATATAAAATAAATTGATTGATTCATCCAACAATATCATATAAAAATCTGTCTTTTTATGATTAGATGATATTAAATGTTCTGTTTTGATGTGAATGCTCTTGTTAATCAATTTGTTTGATTAATCAATTTGTTATATGCTCTATTTGATTAATAAATTTGTGAGTGCCCTGTTTAGTGGTGATATTAATCAATCACGGTGGAAGTTAAACCCACATTTGCTAGCTTTATATTTAGAAGNTTTGTTTGATTAATCAATTTGTTATATGCTCTATTTGATTAATAAATTTGTGAGTGTCCTGTTTAGTGGTGATATTAATCAATCACGGTGGAAGTTAAACCCACATTTGCTAGCTTTATATTTAGAAGATGTGATTAAGTCGATTGATTATTTTAAAAATGCAATAATATTCAATATTTAATATCTTATCTATTTAAAATATGTTGATGCTTATTATTTTGGTTGCATTTAAATATTTTGTATTTGTAAAATTAAAACTTAAATATTTAAAAGTAATCAAAGTATCAAATTAAAATATTTGCTTATTTCTTATATTGTTGCTTTACTTCGATGAAGCATTCGCTTGCCTTCTCGCTTCTCACTTAGGGCCTCAAAAGATCGATTCATTTTACGCCTTAAATAACACTGCTTTAAGGAATTTAGAAAATAAACAANTTGTATTTGTAAAATTAAAACTTAAATATTTAAAAGTAATCAAAGTATTAAATTAAAATATTTGCTTATTTCTTATATTGTTGCTTTACTTCGATGAAGCATTCGCTTGCCTTCTCGCTTCTCACTTAGGGCCTCAAGAGATCGATTCATTTTACGCCTTAAATAACACTGCTTTAAGGAATTTAGAAAATAAACGAAAAATAGAATTAAGGAAAGAAAGCACACTTCAAGGGGGTAAAAACCACTAGTTATTCAATTCGAGAAGAACTGAATCTCCGAAACTTCACAATAAAATTTATTACAATATTCAACATAATATTAGTAACATTTTCATTGATAGAAAGACCTTTAAATACAAGATGATAAAAATTACCTTAATAACTAACCTAACCATGATTCCACTATCTTAATAATAACCACTTAGAAAACTACCAAGAAAATATTCTATCACTAACTCTACTCACTAATAATCTTCCGATAACCAGCTCCTATATTATATATTAAAATTTTGCCCATAACAGTCTACTATCAATCCAATGCAATGGTAGGAAATGATTAGATCAGCCACAAATTAGGTCAAGTTCAAGTATAATTTTTCTTTGACGCCAATCAGTCAAACCCTAATTCTAGCAAGAAGATCAACAGCAAATCAAGAGAACTGATAATAACAATCAAGTGAAAGTCTATCCCACATACCAACATTAGTCGAAACTCTTCTTCGGCCACCTGTCTCTCCTTGGCCTTAACCGCCTTCTCCTCCGCCTTGGCTCTCTTCCTCTCCTCGTTCGCAACCCTCAAAGCCTCCCTCTTGGCCTCATCTTTCCTCTGCTTTTCCAACCTCATCAACTCCATTTCTTCAATGTATTCCTTGCGGACTTCTTTCACTTTCTTGGCATACTCGCGACGCAATTGGTCGAGTCTCGATTGGGCTTCTTTGGGGTCTTTTGGAGGTTTCCAGGTGTTGAGGTAGTTTTCCGGCGGGAGGAATTGGTGGTTGCTTTGGTGGTGGTTGTGGTGGCTGGGTTGTTGATTCGTGGTTGAAGTCGTGGAGAGAGCTCGGAGGGTGGAAAGGGTATTGCGGCGGTGGGTGGCGGTAGCGGGTGAGCAGAGGAGCCGGGGTGACAAAGACATCGAGCTAGTTTTTCAGTTTGGAGAGAGAGAGAGAGAGAGAGAGGAGGAGGAGGAGAAGAAATGAAATAATGAGGGTTTACAGGAGGGGGCATAAACTTAATTCGGGTGCAACTCAATCCTGGGTCAATCCAAGTTATATATAAACTTTGACCCGAATGCATACGGGTTGAAACTCGAGTTCAGATCTCGGGGCCAAATTTTCAAGTTAAGATTCGAATTCAATACAGATTGAAATTCGATTTAATTCGGATTTGATTTTCAAGCTCCCGTTTGGTAACATTTATATTTTTTATTTATATTTTAATATTTAGAGAAAACAAGAAAAGAAAATTCGTTTGATAACTGTTTTTATTTTATTTTTTTGTATTTTTAAAAACAAGAAAAAAAAAATTTTCGTTTTTTAAAAAATAAAAAACCGTAAACGTTACTAAAATAGCCTCAAGTTATACATTTTGAACAAGGGGAATAGAGAGACAGATACCTCTATAAAAACTTAATAAAATAAAAGTTTTTTTTTTAAAATTATTTAGACAAAAAATTCATCTAACAGTAAACATACATAAAATACCTCGAAGAGGAGAAAGACGAAGAATCCTTCTGATGTTGGACACAAAAAGGCAACGCCCACTTGTTCAGCATCAATTATCAAGAATCTATTAATAATGAAAATCAAGAAGCTATTAATACCGAAAATTCTAATTTTTTTAAATTTAAAAAATTTAGAGGTTTCAGTCCATATCTTCTATATCTTTCCAACATTCAGTTTATGTGGAGGAGGAAGGAAAAGCTCTTTAACATTAATTTAGTTTTTCAGTTGTCGGAATCTTTAGACTTCGTCGCTAAAATCTTTGGGAAGTTCTAATTCAGCTTCATTTGATCATCTCCAACAGTAAGAAATTTAACTATTTTAATTTTTTTCTCCCTTGAGTAATTCCAAAGTAGAAAATACTAAACCCTAATTCAAGTTTGAAATTAATTAGGTATGTCCAAAGAAGAAATCATTTTTATGGAGGAAGGCGAAATATATCGACGTTGATTTGGATTTTTTAGAATCCGTCGTCAGAATCTTTGGAAAGTTTTTACTTTGGCTTCATGGGGTCATCTTCTACGATAAGAATTTCAACTATTTTTATTTTATTTTTCTTTAAAAATCCCAAAAAATAAAAAATATTATGCTCTAATTTGAGTTTAAAATTAATTTTTTTATAATTCATAGAAAACGAATGTGTTTAACATTCTGGTGCAAATTTTCAAAAAGTTTCACAAACTTTATATGTAGTGTTATAGTATGGTGTCTTTTTATTAAGTATTTGAAATTTTAAGTTTTAGAAAAAAATTATTAATTCATTATTTAAAATTGTTGTAAAAATGTATCTACTAATTTCTGAATTGAATGCGTTATGATTATTATTGGTTTTATTTTATTGTGTCACTCTATTATACGACCATTGATTATGATCTTCATTCAACAACAAACAACAATTGACATGTGACCATAGAGAGACGTCTTAGTAAATTTCAACCATTGATTCTGTGACTATAGAGTGATCATGTGACCATTGCTTGTCCAGAAAAAAATGTAACAAAAAAAAAAAATTACTCATGACCATAGAGTGACACTATAAAAAGTGACAACCTAATATCATGACTTGTGCATTACAAATTACATCAAAAATACATTGTATCCATTTAAATAAACTGTGGATTGACTGCCTACATTAGGCTATCGACAATTAGAAATTTAATTAAAATTTTAATAGTTGTAATAGAGTGACAGCATACAGTGAGTATTTAAGTTATTATCTTATCCACAATAAAATACATAAAAATAATAATAATTGTGACTTCCTTCACTTTATAGTGTTACTCTATAATACAACCATGAATTAGTCACTTCATTCTACAACAAACAATAGTGAACTTATGACCATAGATAGACATCAAAGAGCGACAACTAAATTTTATGTATTTTCAATACATAATAAATCAAAATCAAACTTGTATTCAAACTTGTGACACCTCATAGCTACTATCTTTAACCGTTGGCTTATATCTATAGAGTGACACCATAGAGTGACAACTTGAATAATGACTTGACCACTACAAAAATACATAACAAATTACTTGTTTTCATAGAGTGACTATCAATTTCTTGGCTTGTTCACTATAGACTACAAATGAACATTGTGCTATTCTTTTATGACACAACACTAAATTATTTTTTTGTGATTTGTGTGGATTCACTATTATACAAATAATGATATTAACTAAACATCTAATGTAGGGTCGATTGTAGTCTCTTTGTTTGTTGTATAATGAAGAAGATTGCTCTTGGTGAAGAAATAGAAGAAAAGTTGGCAACAATACAAGTGAAGGTTTTTTTTAACAGAAATGATAAAAATATTCTTGAACCATCACAAGTCTTGGGCTGAAAATGATGTCAACAAATGGGAAAAATTAAAGACAGAATATGAATATAGTTGATTTAGAATTTATTGCATATATGCGAACTTCATATTAAAAAAATTTGAAATGTAATTTAAGGTATTGTTTGTGGGCTTGAACTACAATTTAATTTTGAAACGGTTATAACTCTTTGGTGTCACTCTTAGAATTCACACTAAATATCAAATCTATAAATTCAATGAATTTTATTTTATTTTTATAATTATATTAGTTCTAATGTTACTAATTGAAGTTACTTTTTGCTATCACTCTTTGTTTGAAACGTGTTATATATAATGTCATCATATATTGCCACACTAGTATGTTACTTTGTTGTCATTCTTTTTGAGAACATTGATATACAAAATGTCAGTATATACAACCACATTTTGATGTCACTCTTTAATATATCTCTTTGATAGCATGCTACCATACTGATGAGACTGAAAAGTGTACATCCAATGCCACCTTTCTAGGAAGAGAGAGAGAGAGATAGAGTTTGAGAGAAAAAATAGAGGGAGAGAATGAGGGATAATAATGAAATATTAATTTCATTTAAATTTTCCAAGTTTAACCGATAGATAAAGTTGAGGAATATTAAAAGTCCTATAAAATATTTAGATATTTGAAAACATATAAATTAGGAAGAGAGAGAACAAGTTTGAGATAAAAAATAGGGAGACAGAGAGAGAGAGTGAGAGATAATAATAGAATATTAATTTTGTTTAAATTTTTAAATTTTAAACTATAGATAAAGTCCAAGAAATATTGAAAATCTCAAATCTAATATTTAAATACTAGTAATTGCTCGTGCTTGAAGACAAAAAATAACAAAAAAAATCAATATATTTGTATGCGTTAGCTAATAATTTCAATAGCTAACTTCAATAGCCCACATGAATCTGTATTACTAAACACTCATAATTCCTCTATCCAATGTATAGATCTCAAAAACAACAAATTACAATGATCAAAATTTATGTAAACCTCAAAATGATACCACTAAGCAAGTATACACAAAATCCTTCCGCTGCTGCATCCTTATCATATCATCAATTCTTTGCAAATAACACATTTTGGCATCTTTTAGTCCTCCTCTCAATTGCCACGTATTATCGAATCAAGCACCCGTGTAAAGTGGGTAAGCAGTCCACACTTGTTCAAGAGTGAGACGTGCTTCTTTTTCCGCAACTGTTCATCATAATAGTCTTCGTCGAACAATTCATCTGGCGAGGTGAAAAAAGGCCACCTCTTTCATGTTTCCTCTAGGTTCATCAGTGATCTTGCTCCTATATTAATATTACCCAAAATTTTCACATACATATTATTTCAAACAAAAAAAAAACAATAATCATGACTCACTAATCCTTAGACCACCATTATTAAACTGCTAGGATTTAACCTATTCACATGCAACACATGTATTCATACATAAATTAAAAAGCAAATCAATCTCATATAGATAATCAAGAAAACAGGAAATATTGCAATTAAAAGGTCACATAAATAAAAAGAAATCATTCAAAATAAAGTTGTCATCCAATAGGATAGTTTTAACGAAAGTCATCAAATAAGCTATCAAGGACATCAAACAGCCGCATGAGAATTTAATTTTTAAATAGCATTACCCAAAGACCGAGAAGTTCTATTCTATCAGCATCACCCAAAGAGAAACTCGGACATAAATGCACACAATCAACAGTGACAAAACCAAAAATTGTAGTAACATAAGAATGAAAAGTTAACTAAAGAATATTTTGCAAGACAAATCATAAATCAATTTGTCTATAACCTTTTGAAGCTTGTGAATCTTCTTGATTCCATGCTTGTCTACGATCTATAAAGGACTAGAATAAGAGCATTGGACCTGCACGCAGTTAAGATCAATTAGTTCAATCAAATAGATTCTTGCTAAATCAGATAAAAAAAAAGTGAACAAATTAACTCATAGAATAAGAAAAACAGACATAACTCATTTGATTAATGTTGATGTGTGTCTCTCCCATTACCATTCTCCCAAAGGAGAGAGATTTAATAATTCACCTGTTACCTTTCTTCTCCAACATTCTTAAAGTACTTTAAAAGCAATAATTTGAACATAAAGAAAAAAAAAAAATGGAAAATGTTGCTCACTGGACAATCATCACAAACACGCCAAATGGTTTCACCCAATAGGTTTGCTAATGGAAGAACAGTCTACTGAAGGAAGTAGTTATTCTCCATCGCTGAAATTGTGGTTGCAATGATGACCTATTGAGATCACGCCATGGAACTCAACGCACCTTCACCATAGCATGACATGAAAAACTACTCAATCACGAATGTAGATCATTAAAGGATCTAATCAAATCCAAAGACCCNTGAAATGTAATTTAAGGTATTGTTTGTGGGCTTGAACTACAATTTAATTTTGAAACGGTTATAACTCTTTGGTGTCACTCTTAGAATTCACACTAAATATCAAATCTATAAATTCAATGAATTTTATTTTATTTTTATAATTATATTAGTTCTAATGTTACTAATTGAAGTTACTTTTTGCTATCACTCTTTGT